AGAAATGGAAATTCCCAGCCTCTCCTTTTTTCTTTATTCTGGGATTTATTTTCCTTCTATAATTGAAACTTTGTTGCCTTCCGTAGAGCTCAGAGCCGGCTCCTGCTCGCTCCAGCTCCGTGGCCATGGCCGGCTGAAAGCAGGTATCTGGGTTTATTTACCTTCTATAATTGAAACTTTGTTCCCTTCTGTGGAGCTCAGAGCCAGCTCCTGCTCGCTCTAGCTCCGTGGCCACAGCTGGCTGAAAGCAAGTATCTGGGTTTATTTACCTTCTATAATTGAAACTTGGTTGCTTTGAGTGGAGCTCAGAGCAGGCCGGGAAGCTTGGCTTCCTCCATCACTGGAGCAACCAAGCCTCCTGCTCACTTCAGCTCCGTGGCTGCCAGCTGCCATCTTGGTTGGTTTAATTTGCATATAGTCGCTCTGATTGGCTGGTGAGCCTGGCTTAAGGCGCAGCGAAGGTATGGTCAATTTGCATGTTTGTCTTTTATTAGTGTAGATGTGTTAATTTAATCAGTTTTAATCACAAAATCACCAAACATTTACACTTATTAATATCCAATTTAGACTGCTAGTGGGATTATATAATACTTATTAATTAATTTGGAGAGAAGTAACTATGCTATACTATTCAGACTTTTTACCCATAAACATATTATTTCAATATGTTTATTTGAGTGTTCATTAATGTTCCTTAGTTTTCATATAGATGATATATCTCAAGTTTTTTGTTCTTTTGCTATCTTTCATCTTTTTTTTAACAGAGAACATATAAAGAATAAAATCACGTCTTACTATTCAAACAATTGATAACATTTTTCTTACTTGTTTCAAGTCCCTTTAAAAACAAAATGAAACAAAAGAAGCAAAACCTCATAATCTGTGACATGTTTTCCTATTACATTTCCCTAATTTCCCTCATCCTTGCCTATGACAATCACTAACTATGAATTTGATTGATAGCTGTTATAACATTATGGTATAACACTATATATATCACTCCAGTGGTCGGCATACTCATTAGACAACAGAGCCAAATATCAACAGTACTTCTTCAAAACAGACTCGCCCAGGCTGAAAACCACCTTCTGCGCATGGGCCACAAAGTTTGAATCACACTGTACGCGCGCCTGCACGTGGTATTTTGTGGAAGAGCCACACTCAAGGGGCCAAAGAGCTGCATGTGGCTTGCGAGCCGCAGTTTGCCAACCACGGCACCAGGCAATCTGCTTAATTTTATTCAGTATTGTGTTTGCATTACTAATACTGATACACATATTTCAATCCTTTCAACAGTTTTAAGCTTGCTGCATGCAATATGCATAGAACTAAAGGCCATAGCTTAAAAAGCAGTATAAATTCCCAAGTACTTATCAGAACAACAACCATGGAGGATGTCCTCTGGTAGCATATATCACAGTCTCCAGAGAGCTTTGAGTGGTTAGCAAAACTCATCCATTGCAATTGGCTTACAGATATTTTGGAAATAGATATTGTCTTTATTTCTTGCTTTGTTTTTTTGGTACCATGTAAACCATTTCATCAATTCTCATTTAACCCTGTATGACTAGGACTCTATTAACCAGGGATAATTTCTCAGTTGACATGTTTCTTTTCTTTCTTTTTTTTAAATTCTTTATTGTTGAAATATTACATATGACCCCTTTTTCCCCCATTGTCCTCTCCTAGCCCATCCCTGCCCCCCAGCCCAGGCCTTCTCCCCCATTTCTTGCTCCTCATATGTCTTCTGGCAGGAACACATATATAGCAATGCATGTATGAATGACAGAAAAGAGTAACAGACTTGACTGTATAAATATCTGCCAAGTTTTAAACATAAAAATTGTATTACTTTTAAATTTAGCAGTGTCCAGGGCTAATAAGAGACAGTACTCATTATTGGAAAGGTTTCAGTGAGATTGCCCTCTGCTGCCCTGTGGGTAAAAATAAAAATTGGTATATTGTTTAACAACCAAGCATGTATTATGAATCTTTAAACCAATTATCTTTGACCCAAGTATTTTACTTGTAGAAATCTATCCTAAGGTATAACCATAAATATGGGGAAAATTGTAGTCATTTGCAATGTTTGTTATAAAAGTGACAGAATGCAAGTAACCCAAATGTACATTAAAGAACATATAGGACATCTACAAGTTAGAATAGTCTGTAGTCATTCAAGATGATTGGCATGATGAGTTTGTAAATATCAAGAAAGATTAAGGGGATTGTTAAGGGCAGGAAAAAAAGGAGACATATGTAATACTCTTTGTAATACTTTAAGCAATAAAACAATTAAAAAAAAAAGAAAGAAAGATTAAGGGAATCTCTTCCTGGGTAGCTCAGTTGTTTACAGCATCGTCCCATATTTTGGGTTTGATCCCCACTCAGGGCACATATTAGAAGTAATCAATGAATGCATAAATAAGTGGAACAACAAATTGATGTTTCTTTCTCTCTCTCTCTCCTCTCTACCCCCTCAAATCAATAATAATAATAATAAAAAATAGAAGTGCTAGGAGGGAAAAACTTTAAGATATAAAATACCATTCCAGTGATGAAAAATGGAAGACAATCCTGCACCATGTTACAAGGATTATTTCTAAGTGGTAGAACAATAAACATTTCATTCTGCTTTTTATACAGAACATGTTTTGTAGGAAAAAATTAATTAAAAAATAAAAGATAAATCACTGGAGATGTTAGATTTTTCAACAGTGGCAGAGCACAGACTCAGTCTGCAGTGCTATTCATTTTTTAAAAATATATAGTTTATTGATTTTTTACAGAGAGGAAGGGAGAGGGACAGAGAGTTAGAAACATGGATGAGAGAGAAACATCAATCAGCTGCCTCCTTCCTGCACACCCCCTAATGGGGATGTGCCCGCAACCAAGGTACATGCCCTTGGCCGGAATCGAACTGGGGACCATTCAGTCCACAGGCTCTATCCACTGAGCCAAACCGGTTAGAGCATTTTAAAAATAGTGAAAACTTATGCTAAATGCATTTCGTATGACCTTGTATTAAGAGCCTCCTGCACCTATGTATGTGTTCACGTATACTACCATGAGCCTCTACATATACAGATCCTATATAATACAGAGGTAATATGTAAATTAACCCAAGATGGCTGTGCCCACAGCAGAGACGGGGTTGCTATAACATAAGATGGCTGGGCCCACAGTGGAGGCGGGGTTCCCATAACGAGTCTTAACGAGCGGTCAGAAGGGACCTGAGGCTGCATGGTGCTGGATGGGGGGGAGGGATCTGACGGGGGACCTCAGGCCATCATGCCACCTGCCATAGCACTGGGCCGGGGGACCTCAGGCTGTGCCGCCCGCCCTGGACCGGGGGACCTCAGGCCACGTTCCCTGCGCCGGTGAACCTCAGGCTGCACCCCCTACCCAGCTGGGCTTGACAGGGGACCTCAAAGCATGCTCCCCGCCCCAGCCCAGGCCGGGGGACCTCAGGCCGTGCCCCCCAATCCCCAGCGCCAGGCTGGGGGACTTCAGGCTGAGCCCATCGGTGGGGCTTGACGGGGGACCTCAAAGTGCACCTCCTGCCCGGCCCAGGCTGGGGGACCTCAGGCCGCACTCCCAACCCCAGGGACCTGAGGCCATGCCCCTCGCCACGGCACTGGGCCAGGGGTCCTGAGGGTGTGCCGGGGGTCCTGAGGCTGCATCCCCCGCCTGGTGGGGCTTGACGGGGGCCCTGAGGCTATACCCCCCCCAACCCAGCACTGAGCCAGGGGACGTGAAGCTATGCCCCCCGCCCAGCGGGGCTTGATTGGGGTGGGGCCAGCCGGATCTGGATCTTGCCCAATGGGGGTGGGGCCAGCCAGGTCTGGGTTTTGCATGATTTCGAGGTGCATGCAGGTGGGTGGGGACTTCACTCTGGGTCCGTGGTACATCTCAGACTCTGACAGGAGGAAGATTTTCATATACGTTTTACTAATTTTCCTTCATCGCTGACATTTCTATTATAGAGAAAGGGCAAATAGCAATGTAAAATATTTCCTCTAATTAGTTCCCTTTTAATGTGCACGAATTTCATGCACAGGGCCACTAGTATCATATGAACCTACCTAGAAAAAGTAAAGAAAACTTAACCTATTCTATATAGGGGTATCATTAACTACAAAAGAAAAAAATTGCAAGTAAATGCAAACCATTGTTTGAAAAGCCCCTCAAATCATCATATACAGTTTGCTTTTAAGATAACTTGTGAACCACACATTCCCTTGCAAAAACCTAACAAGTCCTTTTAAGGTT